AAACATATATCTAGTAAATGCTAGGGCATTCACGAAGGAACAAGATACTTCCAGAAAATAGGCGGCGTGACAATGGTCACGTGACCCCCTGACATAACAATATGTACAACTCAAAAACGAGACGTTTTATCTAAGAACCTATTTTCATAATATCAAATGCGTTAGATTCAGGTTCTGATGTTTCTCCTTTAAACAAAAAGAAATTATACGGTAGAAATATTTTCACAGAGGTAAATATTTATCAGTACAATTGGTTATTAACATATTTAGCGAATACAGTGAAACAGTTTTTAAAACTGGTTAAATTAAACGAGCACATGAAGTGCCGTACGAAATCGCTTTTTAACATTTACGACGAAAAATCTCCGATAAAACCTGGAAACTTTTGAAATGATATTTTAGTAATCAGTTTAATTTATGATTTTGTGAACACTTATGGTGATGCTTCTTCAAAAGCTATAAAAATAAAAAAGTTTGAAATAAAAAATATATTCGATTTTAAAGTATGATATATAAAAACATCCGTTATAGTGTGATATAAAAATAACTCTGAAACAAATAAATGTAAATATAAATTGAATAGTTTTCTAATTTCTTATGTTAAAACGAAGGTTTGCTTTCAATTGTTGGTTTTTCTGTGACTGTAATTAGATGACTCAGTTTGAGGATATCAGTGAACAAAGACCTAGCCTAAAAAATTTCGCGCGTTGAAGTATAAGAGTACAAAAATAAGCTACTCAAAGGTACAGCCGTTGCTACGTAACACAACTGTATGTTGAACGCCTACTTATTACTGGAAGAAAGAAGAAAGACCCAACCCTATAGTTAAACAGTCCAGAAAGTAATTTTAGTATTGAACCTAAGTATTTCTTCATGGCAAATTGACTATTTTTTCAGCATAGTGGAAACTCATGTCTTAGTTTCTTTTAGTTTATTGTAGACAAGGTGAGTGAACCTATCTTGGTGTATTGAACAATGAAAGAAAGTAAAAAAAGGGGGAGATAGATAGATAAAATATAGATACGAAGACCGAAAGATAGATAAATAGGTAGGAAGATAGACAGATTGATAAACAGTTAGATAGACTGATAGGTCGGTAGAGAGATAGATCTAATTGTTAAACTATTATTTTTACTTTTAATAAATATTGTTATATTTATCTGTTTGTTTGTTTTGAATTTCGCGCAAAGCTACACGAGGGCTATCTACGCTAGCCGTCTCTAATTTAGCAGTGTAAGACTAGAAGGAAGGCAGATAGTCATCACCACCCACGGCCAGCTCTTGGGCTACTCTTTTACCAACGAATAGTGGGATTGATCGTTACGTTATAACACCCCTACTGCTGAAAGGCGAGCATATTTGGTGGGAAGGGGATTGGAACCCGCGACATACAGATTATGAATCGAGCCCCCAAACCACCTGGCCATGCCAGGCTATATTTATCTTTTCCACCTAATACTGAGGTTTTTGGGACCTACACTACTGTTGTGCTGTAAATTTGTGCGTGTTATCTGTTGCATGTTTCTGAACTAGCTGCCCTGATGTCTTGTCTACATAGCTACAATATAATCATCTTTGGAATATTTCCCGTGTTTAACCAAGGTTTTTTATCAAGTAGAAAAGGTCTTGACATTGATAGATTATGCATTAAAGAGGTATACAACATGCTTGAGTATTAACAGTTACATGAAGTTCATATCTATGTAAACACTGTTGACAAAGTCTAATGGCGAATGAACGCAAGCGTTACTAACGTAATTGTAAATGCTCTCGTGCAATAAGCTAATTAAAAAGAGTCTTCTTTATTATGCCGGAATGAAGAACTTTAGTCTTTTAGTCATCCCACGTATAAATGACATTTGATTTGGCTTGTACTTCCTACTGTAGGTGACACTGCAGGATGAATTTCAATAGGTTGTGGGTATCCTTGTTATTGTGTGTGTATTATCATTTCTAAATTTGTCTGCTAGATATAATTTGTAAACCTTTTTAAATACACACTGTCTCTCTGTCTAATGTTTTGTTTTTCAGTCTCTATGCACGATACATTTACGATAATCAAACCTTAATAATAATAATAATAATCAAATCTTAAAGAGAAAGTAAATTTTGAGACCAAAAAAGCTAGATAACAGAAATTAACATCATTCACTTAGGGAAAGGAGCATCAAAACGTAGACAACATATCTTTTTTTTGTGCTCTCTATAGCTTTGGGAAAAGGTCATGGAGCTTTTATCGTCTAGTAATTATAGAATTGAGTGTTTAAGGCTTAAATGAGAATCTCTATAGAGTGTTAACTATTTAATTTTAGAAATAAACTACAATATATATATAATCTTATTAAAAGTTGAATAAGCACGAATTTTCAATTATATAGTCTTAGAAGTTCTATTTGTACAGTCCTAGTGATAATTTGTTAATTCTAAGAACCCATGAGTAAAAGCAAAGAACAATTTATTAAAATATATCAACCATACCATATCTGCTTTATCCACCGCCTTTCGCCATAATAGCGGTCTGTACGATTTATATTCATCACTTTTAATGAACAACAACTTTCACTCTTCTTAAGGACCTCTGGAGTGCAGTTGTAGAAATAATAACGCTACAATTCACATTTTTGTAAATGGACGAATTATGTGTTTTCAATCATTTTAGGAAAGGCAAAGAAATCGCTATTTCTTCGAATGTGAATAGCTTTTTAATAAGAAAAGTTGACTGATCTAGCAGAAAATAAGTTATCTCCAGTATTTTAGATTACATTATATATTAGGCTAAGCAAATTAATTTGTACTGCAATGTCTTAGAAATTATTTATATAAATTTCCTCTATTTATATTCCTGACATTTTTGTATTCATATAGGGAGGATCTCCCTCTACCCACTAATTCTTCTCCCACACTTGTATAATTGCAATATTATTTTAGTTCTTAGCATCATCAGGGTCATTTCTAAACCTTACTGAATTACGTAAGACAAAATTACTGCAAATTCCTTATTTGTTGTAATTCTGCATATTACATAGTATACCACTATTATTGTAATGACAGATGACGTATCATTAGTTCTGTAAGCATGTGATTCACGTGCATTCATTGCAATATTTTTTTTCCAACTAAAGAGAGCTTCAGTAACGGAGATGAAAGCTTGTTCAACATGTATTAGAGATAAAAACCTGATTGAGTTATTAGCATGTTTCTTTGACTGACAGAGTATTTTCAGTGTTTTTTTCATTATGTATAATAATAAAAGGATGTGTCTGCGGATCTGTGTTTATACGTGTTTGACCGCTATAACTACGAGAGGAAAGAACCTAGAAACCTGAAATGTTGCACCCATACTAAGTGAACCCTAAAGGTGTGCCCCTGGGTATTATTACTTACCTTATCTACGTGAGTGCGCGCATGCGTCTCTTTTTATTGAGGCAAGCTAGCGAAAAAGCACATAGACAAGAAGTGTGACTGCCATAATTCCAAGGGAAAAGAATTTAGACACCTGAAATTTTGCACCTGTACTGAGGGTGTGCATCTGGGTATTACTTATCTTATTCACGTGCGCGCGTGCATGTCTCTGTGTGTGTGTGACCATCATAACTTCAAGAGGAAAGAACCTAGAAACCTGAAATTTTGCACCCATACTAAGTGGACCCTGAAAGTGTGCAACTGGGTATTATTTTTTTTATCCACGTGGGAGCGCGCATGCGCGTGCGTATCTTTTTATGAAACAAGCTAGCATGCGTGTCTGTGTGTGTGACCGCCATAGTTCCAAAAGGAAATAATCTAGAAACCTAAAATTTTGCACCTATACTAAGTGGACCCTGAGGGTGTGCACCTGGGTATTATTTCTTATCCATCCGCATGTCCGTGCGCATCTTTTTAAGGTGCAAGCTAGCGAAAAACCACATAAATAAAAGTAGTTCCTTGTATTGCAAATAGAAATTACAGACAGACACATGCGTGCGTGTGCATATGCGCATCATTTTTAATGAGACAAGCTAGTGAAAAGCCACATAGAATGAAGTGGCTCCTTTTATAACAACTTCTAATATATAAAAAAGCCAGTATACGCTAGTATAGAATATGCATAATTTTAATGGACTCTTCGGGCTCCGTTACACCTAGAGCCTTAGACAATTTTGCCACTTGCCCCACTTATTTCTATACTATTGGATTCAAGAACAGGAATTTTTGATAAGCTGTTAAGTATATTTTATTAATTTACTTCATCTACTAACAATTAATTTCGTTTGTTTTAAAAGCAGTGTTCCACAATTTAACGAATTGTTATCGTTCAGTACATTGTTGCCCGATGAGGGTTCCGGTAAGAGGGTCGAAAGCTCGCAAATAAAAATATTTTAACGTAGAGAAAAGTCCGTGTATAATTCTACATATTTGTTTATCTACAGTATGAGTCTTAAACAACAATTATCGTTTGCTACTATTCTTCTAGTTATGTAACCACGACAGAGCCTTTGGAACTTTTCTAAATCGTTTTTAAATATTAACTAATTGGAACTCACTATTACACGTTTACTAAACGCACTACTGCCCTGGTATAAAGGCCAAAATTTTTATTCACGAAGAGCTCTTTTCTAATTTCAATGCCCATAGTGATAATAAAATGGAGAAGAAATGGGATTAAGCTTCAACCTTGCAACTTCACCATTCCATCTAAAATGAAAATTTATAGCATAGGGAAAATTCTTTTCTGCTTAAGTTATCTGTTTGACTGTGTATGAAGATATAATTTTTTGTTCTTAATTTCATACTTCCACATGTTTAACTATTTCACGATCATTTGAAGTTTTATCTTAGGTAAAATGGTATCATTTTCATAAATTATCAGAGATACACAAGTATATATTTATCTAATAAAACAATAATATTAGAGTAAGATTAAAATTATACCTGCATACAAATATAAAGATAAGTAAGAAAGTAAGCAGGCAGAAAACAAATTAGCACACGAGCTTATAAAGTAAGAAAAGTTTACGTCATACCTGTTTTTCAAGTCTTGTAAAATTTTTTAAATAAACAGGTAGAATTGTCTGCAAATTCCAATAAACTTCAGATATAAGCCTCGTGTTCTCGATCAGTATGCAGCAGACACCATAACTCTCGTACTACATTTCGTCTATAAGTGAAGTACAGTTTCTGAGAGAAGGCTTACTGCTTTGCTCTAAATGTCGCCATCTCTCCAGACCAACATACTGCCAACTGAATGAAGAAATCAATGGGGAACTTGCACGCGCCTAATTATGTCTGTATTGTGGTCCTACGTGTTGTCTAGGTACATATAAAGGCGTGGAGAATTTGCTTTGTGAGAATCAGCAAAAATTAACTCAACACAATTTCACTAATTAAAGTCAACAAACGACGCTCTTACTGAGCGATATTCATTACTGTTGCATAGTGCAGTTGACAGTTAATTTATATTATTTTCATCTAGTAACTTAGCACACTATAATTAGCTAGAAAAGAATCGCCTAAGAAAAGTATTCAGTAATGTTTGGATATTATTTGCTTTAATTTATAGTTGTATTCATACAAACTTTTTTTTGAGAAAATGTCCTTCGAAAATGGAAATTATGAAAACA